CCCGAAATGACATAGTTTGTGTCAAGTAGACCTTAAACACCATCTCTCACTATTCTGGGTTGGCAGCTACACTAGGATCATCCTGAGGCTGAAATTTGGTGTATAGGCATTAGGGATAGTTTGGACCGGGGAGTAACATAGGCTAAGTGGCGTTAGCCTATCGCTTCCAGTTTCAACCGGTGCATCACAGGTTAAACCTCTAGTAAAATATACCAGCGGTTACCAGGCAAGCTACGCTCACATTTTGCAAGAGATGGATAGAGAACAAGCTAAAAAAAAAAATATAGAAAAAAAAGAGAGATTTTTTCGTACAATCAGGGCCCATAATCCAGGAAATTATGGTCTGAAATGCACAAATATCAAAAGGGACTGAAATCTTTGGGATATAAAGATATATTTTAAGTTTCATCCAAACGGATAAAAATTGTGAACTATTGGGTAATACGACGTGCCCTACGTTATCATAATCATGATGCATATATAGGCCAAAAAAAAAATGTTATGTTTCCGGTAACCCGACCGACCCATTACAAAACCTGCCGAGTCAATTTTTTTTTTAGTGTCAAGGGAAATAAAAACATTTTTGTTCAATTAGCAACCGTTCAAAATACTCTAAGCCTACCGGATTCGTGAAAATGGCTTTATTATTTGTTGCTATAAATGGATATAAATGTCATCGTTCTTTGAATCTGCATTTACCGATCGGAATAAGCGAATACTGTACAGCGAACGATTTTTAAGAACTGTCATACAGTTGACGCGAGATTGCTAACTGATGTGAAAATCGAGACTACAGGTTTCGTATAGATTTAACACTGCACATCCCGAACAACCATAATCCTCACAACCTTCGTTCTAATAAGTAACGGCACGCAATTTGACAAAAACAAGCTAACGTATATTTCAAACAGGTGGATAGGATCTGCTCGATTGGTATTTAAAACAAGACAAATAAATTTATTACGGACCTATTTCGTGCCACGGCACGATATGATTTTTTAAGTTTTCATCATGAGTTCTTTCCCTTGAACAAATGGCCTCCCTACGGGTACGCTATTTTTTTAGCATAGAAAGATTAAAAGATAGGTTGCCAGGCAACGAAACATACGCCCACAGCAGCTAATTCGTCCGGGCATTCAACAAGTGTTGTCGCATATTTTTACTTCTTTCGGTAATGAAACATTTATAATACACTAAAACCTGATTAAGAGTAACAACACATGAAATAATTATCAGAAAACCATTAGAATTTGTTTGTTTTTTATAAAGTTCTGCCCCATGCTAACGTTTAGTATGCAAAACTTTTAATATCATGGATTTAGCTGTTCAAGTCATAAAAATTCATTGAAAATCAATATACTTGTTCGTCTCAAGCTCTTAAACTCTGTGTATCAATCTGAAGTCAATCGGATGATAACTTTAGCCTCTAGACCGTCACAAGATTTTTCAAAGTGATCAAGGGCCATAACTGTGACAGTAATTATCGTAAATCGCTGAAAATCAATAGACTTCTTCGTCTCATGACCTTAAGCACTGTGTATAAATTTAAAGTCAATCGGATATTAACTTTGGCCTCTACGGCGTCCACAAGATTTTTTGAAGTGATCAAGGGCCATAACTCTGGCAGTAATTATCGAAAATCATGACCTTAAACACTATGTATAAATTTAAAGTCAATCGGATATTAACTTTGGCTTTTAGAGCGTCCACAAGATTTTTTGAAGTGATCAAGGGCCATAACTATGGCAGTAATTATCGGAAATCGTTGAAAATCAATAGGCTTCTTCGCTTCATGACCTTAAACACTATGTATAAATTTAAAGTCAATCCGATATTAACTTTAGCCTCTAGAGCGTCCACAAGATTTTTTGAAGTGATCAAGGGCCATAACTCTGGCAGTAATTATCGGAAATCGCTGAAAATCAATAGGCTTCTTCGTTTCATGGCCTTAAACACTGTATATAAATTTAAAGTCAATCGGATATTAACTTTAGCCTATGGAGTCCAGCTTGTGAATTGCTTGTGGACGCCGGACCGACAGACGGACGGACGGGGGCGACGACAATATACGACTACATTTCAATGTGGGCGTATAACAATCCATTTGCCCCCTAAGAGGATATTTAAATCATAATCTAGCGTCTGATAGATTTTAAACAATTATCCAACAATTCCATCCACCAATCTATTCATGCTTCATGTTCCTCGGCGCCGACTCAACCTAACATAAAATTAATGATTTTCGCACAGAATATTATGCTATGGTACATCTACTAGATCTGACAATGTAACATTTAAAAAATGTATTCCGGTGAATTCCGGTGATTAGTCTACCCAAATAAAAGTATCTAGAACAAAATTATTTCAATGTCATTACCTTTTTGTAAGCCTGTTATCGTCGTATCATGGTAGGTTTTAACTTCCAACCAGAGCAGAAGAATCCTTCTTATCACGAGCCACTCAGTGCAAGCCACAGAGTAAAAATACTCTGTTCGCCGAATACATTCATTCGGCCCACCAGTCGGCTTTTTTTTGTTGGCAATGGGTGTGTGTGTGCCTTTTTACAGCCGAAGTGGTTTCTGCAGAATTAATGCAGAATTTCCTAAAATAAAATGAAGGCAGAAAAGAAATGAAATGGGGTTTAACGATAGGGCTATTATATGTCACCCCTTTTAATAATAGCAGCAACCAAAAAGCGAATATTATAACTGCTAAACAGTTTTCAGTCGGAGGGGTAAAGTATAAGAGTACAATATTAAGGCCACCTCCAGATTTCGATAAGGGCTAGCTAGGACACGTGATTGCTGCCCAGTGTGACGGTTTGAATTGACTCCAGTGTGTGTTTGTTCCTGGGGACTTGCGCATGTAAGAAATTATTATTTGCATTAACAACGAACTCATACTTCCGGCGGTGTGAGATGGTTCCTGATCACTGATCAGTTCAGGAAAAAGTATTATCGATTAGCGATAGTGCGTACACCATCAACGGATTCAAGTTGATTGGCTTGAAATTGATACTTCTATCGTTCGTGATAAGTTGCTGTTGTTTTTTTAGTGATTAGTCGTTACACTTTTTGACGTTTTAACTATGTTTTAATAATTAAATAATTAACTATTTTTGCAGATTGAATATTGGCCTTTATATAACTGAGATTTCTCTGTATCATTGTTATTTTAATTTTGTAGCCTACTTCTTATTAAAAATTTTACAATTTTTGCGATATCACTTCGGTGGAAGCGGACGTTAAATAAAGCTATTTCACACTTTACCAAATGTCAATGATAACGATAAGAGCACGTGCGCGCTCTATCATAAAGTCTGTCATTGAGTCAACTGGCGTGGTTTCGATTCCCCGGTACGTGACAAGGAGTAGGGTCGCTTGTCCAACCTCGTGGGTTTTCTCCGGGTCCTCCGGTTTCCTCCCACTGCTAAATAGCCCTACGCGCAAGCGAATTATGAAAATAAAATTGAACCCTGTGTTTGTCCCGAAATGACCTAGTTTGTGCCGAGTGGACGTTAAATCCCATCTCTCTCTCTCTCTCTCTCTCTCTCTCTCTCTCTAACGATAAGAGAATGCTTATCGAAACGTCGTGCGTGTGTATAATAAACCAGTGACTGTTGCCCATATAACGTGTTAGTTCTGTAAAAAAAAATGTATCCAATCTCTAAATGCCACTAAAGGATTATCACAGTGACGTACCTTATGACCTAAAGCGCTCGTCCGAATGTAAAGTGGCTCCAGACCACAAAGTTTGTGGCACAAAATCATGGGATTTAGGACACTTTATTTTGCCGACTAGACGCCAAAATGTTTGGGTTTTTTTTAAATATTATATCAACTTTTTTTTCACATTTTACCTATAAGTTACTTTCCTTTAGGAACTCAGTGGTGCAGAACGGAGGGCCTGACAAGGACAGCTGTCTAGTCCTTCGGATGAGACAAAAAACCGAGGTCCCGTGTATATATTGGAATGCAGGTAAAATATCCCCTGGCAGTTGGAATTTGATATAAGAGTAGGCGATAGTGCCGCTGCCCGGGCAAAAATTTCCCTCATAGCACACTGTATGGCGTATGCCCGTCTTCATTAGCCCAGTATAGGAGCAGAACAGTAGGACGTTAAACCCCATTTCATTTCATTTCCTTTAGGATCTGTCTAGATCTGATCGATCACACACAGTTCCTAAAAGAACTACACAATTACTCATCTACCTGAAGAATTGATAAAACATACAGAATTCTTTATTTTGCCGACTTTATACTTACTGAGGGGATGACACCGCTTGTCAGTGATGCAGGACATTGGCGTGCACGTTAAAGATCCTTTGAAGTTGGAATTCGATATAAGAGTTGGCCGTAGTGCCGCTGTCCGGGCAAAATTTCCCTCATAGCACACTGTATGGCGTAAGCCCGTCTCCATTAGCCCAGTTTAGGAGCAGAACAGTAGGACGTTAAAAACCCCATTTCATTTCATTTACAGTGATGACACCGCCAAATTTTTGTCATGGTCACGAAGTGTAAACAGGGCTAGCGCTAATCCGGACCCTAACCCTAACCCCACAATCCCGGGCAGCAATCACGTACGTGTCCTAGCCCTTATCGAAATCTGGAGGTGGCCTTAATATTGTACTGTTATACTTTACCCCTCCGACCGAAAACTGATTAGCAGTTATAATATTCGCTTATTGGCCGCTGCTATTATTAAAAGGGGTGACATCGGGGCGAGTTTTAGCTCATAGCACACTAACATTGTATGCAGTTTGCCCAACTTCATATAATATAATAGCCCTATCGTTAAACCCCATTTCATTTCTTCCCTGGGCCTTCATTTTATTTTAGGAAATTCTGCATGACTTCTGCAGAAACCACTTCAGCTGTAAAAAGGCACACACACCCATTGCGAAAAAATCTTAAAAAACCGACTGGTGGGCCGAATGAATGTATTCGGCGAAATGCGGATGCAAGGCAAGGCTTGCGTTGACTTGACTTGTTCCAAGTGGCTCGTGATAAGAAGGATCTTGGAATCATGATCGCCGGTTGATTGTTCTGCTCTGGTTGGAAGTTAAAACCTATCATGATACGACGATAACAGGCTGACAAAAAGGTAATATGACATTGAAATAATTTTGTTCTAGATACTTTTATGGATGTCAAAAATCGGAAATACGAAAAGGGTAATCCCCTTTTCCATACCGTATTATCTTAAATAAAATCAACCTTAAGAATACCGGGTCTTGATAAAAACAGACGTAATTAATCATATTAATGTCATTGAAGTAATTATGTTGTGGATTTACGAATTAGTTCTAGATACTTTTAATGAAGTCATGCAAACATTGGAAATGTGAAAAGGGTAATCCCCTTTATTATCTGAAATAAAGTCACCCCAGAAAGGAGCCATGGTGGCTAAGTCAGTAAGTGGGTAGGATGCTGGCTTGCTAGTCGGTTCGATCCTCCATTGGCCAAGAAAGTTCATCAGGATTTTTCAACGTGGTTTCAAGGAGGGCCTGACAATTAGTACAGCTGTCAAGTCGTCTAGATAGGACGGAAATACGAGGGCCCATTTATATACATTGGCGTGAACGTAAAAGATCCCTTGGCAGATGGAATTTGATATAAGAGTTGGCCATAGTGCCGCTGCCTGTGAAAATTTTCCTCATAGTAGACTGTATGGCGAATGCCTGTCTCCATAGCCCAATGGAGCAGAACCATATACTCCCTGGATTATAGCCCCCCATTCTCTAGAGGTCACAATTTTTATCCGATTTTAAAAGCCGTTTAATTATATAACCAATCCACCATAACAAAGGTGGAGTTTGAATTTCGGAAAAATCGAAACAAAACTGACTAACAAAATGGCCTGTCCTTTTGCGCAAATTGTGTAAAAGCATGTAATACGAAGGTTGTGGAGCCTCTAGAGGTCACAATTTTTATCCGTTTGGATGAAACTTAAAATATATCTTTATATCCCAAAGATCTCAGTCCCTTTTGATATTCGTGCATTTCAGACCATAATTGTCCCCCGCCTTTCGAAGAAAGCAGGGGACTATTAAAATGGGTTCGTCCGTCTGTCTGTCCGTCTGTCCGTCACACTTTTTGGGACACAATAACTCTCTTCCTAATTGAGCTAGAATGTTCAAACTTGGTGTATGTGTTTATTAGGTCAATGCCTTGATGGAGTTCGAAGATGAGCATTTTCCGCTTAGGGTAAAAAGGGAGATAAGCAATTTGATTGGTTGATGCTTTGGGACACGATAACTCTCTTCCTAATTGGGCTAGAATGTTCAAACTTGGTGTATGTGTTGATTAGGTCAATGCCTTGATGGAGTTCGAAGATGAGCATTTTCCGCTTAGGGTAAGCAGAGATAAGCAATTTGATTGGTTGATGCTTTGGGACACGATAACTTTTAATTGAGCTAGAATGTTCAAACTTGGTGTATGTGTTTATTAGGTCAATGCCTTGTTTATTTTGATTCTATCTGATAGAGAGTGATGAAACTTAATGTATACTTAATAATCAGTTTGATTGCTGGATACTTTTGAAAAAGATAAACATGCAATTAATTAATATATGTCATCTATTTATTTCGGGATTTCAGCGGGGGACATCAGCCTCACTGTTGGCTTGTTTCCTGGATTATGGGCCCTGATTGTACGAAAAATCTCTTTTTTTTTTTAGCTTGTTCTCTATCCATCTCTTGCAAAATGTGGGTGTAGCTTGCCTGGCAACCGCTGGTATATTTTACTAGAGGTTGAACCTGTGATGCACCGGTTGAAACTGGAAGCGATAGGCTAACGCCACTTAGCCTATGTTACTACCCGGTCCAAACTATCCCTAATGCCTATACACCAAATTTAAGCCTCAGGATGATCCTAGTGTAGCTGCCAACCCAGAATAGTGAGAGATGGTGTTTAAGGTCTACTCGACACAAACTAGGTCATTTGGGGAATAACACATGGTTCAATTTTATTCCAATGATTCGCTTGCGCGTAGGGGTCTTTAGCAGCGGGAGGACCCGGAGAAAACCCACAAGGTTGGACAGGCGACTCTACTCATTGTCATGTACAACCAGGGAATCAGCCCAAAACAAATAGACAAACAGTCACAAATATCAGTATATGTTTATAATAGTGGATTTATTTTCAAATTAAATACTGTATTACTCATATAATTACTAGAAATTGACACGTCCTGCAACATGAGTGGTACTTTGCCTTCTTGATTCTCTCTTTCTGCTTTCATTTTGTCACGATTTGTCATATCTTATAGGCATACTGTCATGTTAATTATTCATGGTGTACCGAGTGGAGCGCGAAGTAACACCCCCTGTCTGCAAACCTGAAATCACTCCTATTTGCAGCGAAGTCACACAGAAGGTCCACAGTGGGAACATAGAATTTCTATAATACTTTAGATGTCACTTTTAGTTATTCCTGTTGTTTGGAAGGTTGTCGTCTGCTATTTAATGTTGGAGCAACATTTGAAAAAAGGTATGGTTTGACATTAAAATATCGCTTCAGGTGTCACCATCTCCGATACGATACTTTGCTTGTCATGTGATGTCTCGACAAGAAGGGGAAATCCCCTAACGGTTACGCTGTTCAAAATTTGCTCTGTTAAAAGTTGAGAGAGAGAGAGAGAAATGGGTTTTAACGTCCACTCGACACAAACTAGGTTATTTCGGGACTAACATATGGTTTTATTTTTTATTTCAATAAATCGCCTGCGCGTAGGGGTCTTTAGCAGTGGGGGAAACCGGAGGACCTGGAGAAAACCCACGAGGTTGGATTGGTGACCCTACTCCTTGTCACGTACAACCGATGATTCGAAACCACGCCACTCACCACAGTGAAATTTCACGCTCAAATGACAAGTTCTCACGAAGACACACAGCACATGCATTTTTTGCCTATAGATACTCTTACTAAATTCCAATTGCTGAGGGTTCTCTTACGTGCATGCCAATATGTACACGGGACCTCGTTTTTTATTGTCCCATCCGAACGACTATACAGCCATCTTGCACCGCTTACAAGGGGAAACCATGCCAGAAAATCTCAATGAACTTTCTCGGCCAACACTGGGATCAAACCTGTCTGTCTAGTCCTTCGGATGACACGAAAAAACCGAGGTCCCGTGTATACATTAGAATGCACGTAAAAGATCCCTTGGCAGTTGGAATTCGATATAAGAGTAGGCGATAGTGACGCTGCCCGGGCAAAATTTCCCTCATAGCACACTGTATGGCATATGCCCGTCTTCATTAGCCCAGTATAGGAGCAGAACAGTAGGAAGTTAAACCCCATTTCATTTCATTTCATTTCTTATTTACTTAGCCGCTATGGATCCTCGGCGTAAATAATACAAGGGAGGTAATTTTGCTATTATTAAGTGCTAGAATAATGCCAGTGATTGTATATAAGTGGTCGACAGTCTATAGCTATTAAGCAATAGATATAGAAATAATTATGTTTTGATTTTCTTAGAAAATAGGCAACAGTCAGTTTAATGTTTTGCTATTTGATTTAACAATTTACTTTTAGCGTGAAAATTCAAGATGTTTGTTTGATGGTGCTGAGATTTAAATGATGATGCTTTACGATGTTTAAATATTCCTCTTCTAAAGATAAATCCAGTTGGGAGAGAATTGGTTGTATTAATTACTTAATCGTCCTGATCACAGATAATTATCTACATCCAGAATAATTTCCAAGAGAAATGTTTGTGGTAATTACTGCACTTAACCTTATTTATCAACTAAAAGGATGCCCGGCTTCGCCCGGGGTCGAAATTCGTCCGGGGCCCAGAGGGCCATAACCTTGAAACCGGAAGTGGTAGTCCATTGCCACGAGGCCTATGTAAAGCCTAGCTCACAATCTGCTTCAATGGGCCTATGTAAAGCCTAGCTCACAATCTGTTACTATGGGCAGCCTACGAGAGACATTTTTAGTAAACCCAAGCATGAGATGTAAATGACTCGCCTGAAGATAAGTCAAGGTGCGTCGAGAGGCAAAAGCATCCTTAAACGTTAAAGACTGCGGCTGTACACTACCACTGTCCGTGCTAAATTTCCCTCATAGCACACTGTACGATTTATACAATCTTCGATGCAGAACCGTAGGACGTTAAACAACATTTTATATTTCGTTACGACTTTTATTTTGTGTTATAAATCCGTTACGATTTACTTGCAGAAGTCGTCAAATTGCAGGAGTTGTCAACAGTTCCACAAAAAGATTTTTTCTGGAAGGAGACCTGCCATGTTTTTACACAGGAAACTTACTACTAACTCCACAGATTGGAAAAAAAAAGTCTAAAGCAAGATGATCTTTGACATTGAAATACAGAGAAGCAAAAGGTTTAATTTACCGAAATTTAGAAGTAAACTTTTGGTACAAAATTTAAATATTTTAGGCTTAATTTAAAGATACACTCCCACTTAAAGATACATTCCCACTTGAAGATTTTAGGCTAAATTAATGTTAATCTGGCGTTCATGACTTGGTGCTTTAAGTTTCTGTTATCCTAACAGATGGCAGGAGAACTCACACAGTTTTTGTGGGAAGGCATCTTTAATCTGGGGTTCATGACTTTGTGTTAAGTTTCTGTCATAACTGTTGTCATTAAAATTCAAAAGTAAGTTCTTATGTAAATGGCAGCCGTCTGAGCCATGACATGTTTCTCAAGCCGGTTGTACGTGATAAGGAGTAGGGTCGCCTGTCCAACCTCGTGGGTTTTCTCCGGGTCCTCCGGTTTCCTCCCACTGCTAAAGACCCCTACACGCAAGCGAATTATTGAAATAAAATTAAAAACATATGTTAGTCCTGAAATGACCTAGTTTGTGTCGAGTGGACGTTAAACCCAATTTCTCTCTCTCTCTCGTTTCTCAAGCACCCATGTCACACTTCATGAAATTCCATCTCGCACACCCAGGGAGCTCAGCCACCCCACGCTTGAAACGCCTGATGTGTATTCTCTTGATAACAAATTTCTTGATTGATAGAAAAGAAAAATCTCTACTGCAAATATGCCAGACTTTGAAAATATCCCCCAAAAATTATATGATTGAATTATATAACTTTGGTTTTGAACGATCATTTAATCTTTTTTCCAAATAGTATTTAGAAAGATTCGTGGGGATAGATTCGTGTTAACATAAAACTGGGATTGGATTTGAAAGAGGGTTTATTGTGAAAAGCATTTTCTACAACAAAACATGGCTGATCAATAGACTAGGATTGGTTTTCATCCATGGTATTGATATTAAAATATTAAGGATATACAAAAGAAATTATTATGTTTTTAAGACAACCCTTCCAAAAAATCTGATGCAGGAGTCAGATTTTGTTTTTGTGTTTTTATTTTGTCATAGCGCGTGTGCTTTGTTTCATAAGGTTTCGATTTCCCGGTTGGGTTTTCTCTCGGTCCTCCGGTTTCCTCCTCCCACTGCTAAAGACCCCTATACGCAAGCCAGTAATTGAACCAAATGTTAGTCCCGAAATGACCTAGTTTACATCTCATGACCATGACGAAATCTGCAGGTGGCCTTAATATTTAGACCTGACCTGTTATAGTCAGCATATATAATGTTGAATATGATTCATGCAACCTATTTTTAGCATTCATTCATTCATTCATTATATCAGAAATGAATTATTAGATAACAGACAGGAAATTGATTGAATATAAATTTTTATATATTGTTGTATGGTCTGATTGAAACCATGAATGAATAGATAAAAGTAGGTTGGGCCACATGCATTTGAATTTCTGATCTTCGAAATCACCTGTTAAATATTTTCCTTCTTTTTTTGACCAAAAAAGACTAATTTAATACCAAAGGACTTTTTTTGTGCTGTTAAAAAGCTTCTGTTTCTAAATTTCTAGGCTTTGAAATTTTAAACAAAAGGTACCTGGAAATAAGGGAACTGTCACAGACAATGTCAGGCACAGATTCAGGCTTTGTCAGGCACTAAACCTCTGGTGCCTGTCATTTTGCCTTTTTTATTGATATTATTAATACATGTCTGGCACTAAGTTGAAAATGTCGGGTACAATGTACATTTTGTCAGGTACATCTAAAACCGTTATTTCCAGGCCTGAACAAAACATCTTTCAAGTGGTCTATTTATTTATCAAGATGCAGAAGAATAGAAAATCAAATGGGTGTGGCCTAATGCTGACTAGACATTTATGTATTTTTGTATTTGATTATGTTCTTACCATATTCTATCAAATGAGTGCCCGTCACCCCATGTATTATGTTCTTACCATATTCTATCAAATGAGTGCCCGTCACCCCATGTATTATGTTCTTACCATATTCTAGCAAATGAGTGCCCGTCACCCCATGTATTATGTTCTTATCATATTCTACCAAATGAGTGCCCGTCACCCCATGTATTATGTTTTTACCATATTCTACCAAATGAGTGCCCGTCACCCCATGTATTATGTTCTTACCATATTCTAGCAAATGAGTGCCCGTCACCCCATGTATTATGTTCTTACCATATTCTACTAAATGAGTGCCCGTCGCCCCATGCATTATGTTTTTACCATATTCTACCAAATGAACGCACTTAATGTCTTGAAATTGATGAAATTTAACTTCGGCTTATTCTGTCGAAAATGATAAAACCTACCTTTGACTTAATCTGTCGAAATTGGTGAAGTTTAAGTTCGGCTTATTCTGTTGAAATTGATAAAACTTGCCTTCGATTTAATTTGTCGCAATTGATGAAATTTAACTTCCAACTTAATCTGTTGAAATTAATAAAACTTACCTTCAACAAGGTTAAACACTCCCTCTCCCTCTCTCTCTCTCTCTCTCTCTCTCTCGTTGATGGAAGTTTTTAAAACTTTTTGACATTTTTCACTTTGGCCTAAGGAAGGAACTGTATCGAGAGTTATCCCCCTTTCTCTTATGAAATCTTGTGTGTGTGTGATACATTCCTGATAGAACTCTTTGGGATTGTTTATTATGATTGCCTAATTGGACATTTTTATTTTGAGCTTTTTTGAAGAAGTTAATATATCTATATTTTTATGAATTAAATTTGAAATTTTTTAATGTCAGAATCTATTTTTGATCCTTTGTTCATGATGTGAAAGAATTTTTTCTGGCTTTCCATACATCTTCAACTAATTTTTTTCAAATTGTGAAGATTTTTTTTGGGGGATCTTTTTCGAAGAAGTTAATAAATTTATATTTTTATGAATTAAATTTGGCATTTTTTAGTGCCAGAATCTAAATGTATTATTTTTGATGCTTTATTCTTGATTTGAAAGAATTATTTCTGGCTTTCCATACATCTTCCAACTAATTTTTTTTTTAAATTGTGAATTTTTTTTTTGTTTTTTTTTTTGAGTTTTTTCGAAGAAGTTAATAAGTCTACATTTTTGTGATGTAAACATTTAGGCATTTTTTAATGCCAGAATCTGAATGTATTTTTGATCCTTAGTTCTTGATCGAAAAATTTTCTGCTAGCTTTCCATACATCTTAAACTCAGTGTCCAAACTTGTTTTTTTTTCAAGTTGTCAGAAATTGTTATTTTCAGCTTTTTCGAGGTCATTGAATATATATTGTATTGTACTCCTATCAATTTTGATCCTTGGCAAAATTATTGTCCATGACTTCTGATTGTAGTCTTAGTAGACTCTCTTTGTGTCTCTCTCTCTGTCTTGTCAACTAGCGTGGTTTCGATTCCGGGTTGTAGGCCAACCTCGTGGGTTTTCTCTGGGTCCTCTGGTTTCCTGCCACTGCTAAAGACCCCAACGCGCAAACAAATTGATGAAATAAAATTGAACCATATGTTAGTCCTAAAAACACCCAGTTTGTGTTGAGTGGACTTAAGCCTCCCTCTCTCTCTCTCTCTCTCTCTCTCCCCCTCTCTTTTTTTTTCTTTTTTTCCTTTTTTTTTTTAGATCAATCCAATATTTGTTATGTATCAGATTATATACGGAAGACGGCCCTAAATGTATTTTTTTTTTTTTTTATAACTGATTTAAGGAAATCCATTGTTTATTTGCCTCAGTGACTTGAATAGGTCTCATGTATCTTTATGTAGTCGCAGTGCTGCATTTTTTAATGTCAGAATTCAAATGTATTTTAATCCTCTGTTTAGTAGTTCAGATGGGACAAAAAACCAAGGTCCCGTGAACATATTTGCATCTGTGACTTGAATAGGTCTCATGTATCTTTCGGTAGTCTTTTTCTAACATTTTTTTAATGTCGGAATCTGAATATATTTTAATCCTTTGTTCTTGATAGTAACAGATTAGTCCTTTTTTAAAGGCAAAATGGGGGGGGGGTGGATAGCTGAATGGTTAGCGTGCCCACAAACTATATTAAAGAGTGTCATTGAGTCGACTGGCTTGGTTTCGAATCCCCGGTTGTACGTGGCAAGGAGTCGGGTCGTCTGTCCAACCTCGTTGGTTTCCTCCCACTGCTAAAGACCCCTACGCGCAAGCGAATTATGTAAATAAAATTGAACCATATGTTAGTCCCGAAATGACCTAGTTTGTGTCGAGTGGACGTTAAACCCCATTTCTCTCTCTCTCTCTCTCTCCCTTTTTTTAAGGCGAAATGTTATGTTGTTAGGGCTATTGGGGTTCATATTATTCTTGTATAACAAAAAGATCTTCTCAGTCAAGACATTTTATTCAAACCTCGTGCAACTACCATCAATAGCTTGGGTTATCACACATACATTACTAACACTACATTTACGACATACCCTGACACAAAACATCAAGTATTTTTGGGATATCGGAATCTAAAAGTATTTTGATCCTTTGAATAACTATTTTTTTTTTTTTTTTAATATCAGAATTTGAATGTATTTAGACCCCTTAATTTGTTGTTGGCAGTAATCGTCTTTTTTTAGTGTGAAAAATCAACAATTTTTTTACTATCAGTATCTGAATACATTTAGATCTTTTCTTCTCTTGATAGTGATAGTACTGTCTTTTTTTCCAGCACAAGAATATAAACTATTTTTTTAATGTCAGAATCTGAATGTATTTTGAGGGGAGTTGGATGGCAGAATGGTTAGCGTGCGCGCGCTGTATCATAAAGTCTGTCATTGAGTCGACTGGCGTGGTTTCGAATCCCCGGTTGTACGTGGCCAGGAGTAGGGTCGCCTGTCCAACCTCGTGGGTTTTCTCTGGGTCCTCCGGTTTCCTCCCACTGCTAAAGACCCCTACGCGCAAGCGAATTATTGAAATAAAATTAAATCATATGTTAGTCCCGAAATGACCTAGTTTGTGTCGAGTGGACGTTAAACCCCATTTCTCTCTCTCTCTCTCTCTGAATGTATTTTGACCCTTAGTTCTTCACAGTAATAGTTCCGCTTTCTTTGTGGGGTTGGATGGCCGGATGGTTAGCGCGAGATAAAAGATAAAAGTTATTTAAAGTTTTTAAAGTGTGTGGCAACAAATTCCAGAGGCTGGGTCCTTTAAAGCGTATACTGCTTTTAACTATAGTAATAATGGGCTTGAGAGAAGTAAGTTATGGTGTACTTCAATTGAGTGAAAAGGAGAATTTTGGAGTACAACGCATGTGCCAACTGCATAAAAAAAAATATCTCAACCAACCATAACAGCTGAAACATATTTGTTACTTAAAATATTTCACGATTCTACTCACACCACCTCAGCTGTCGGGACTGGCAGAACTGTGACATGGCTGAATTCTGTATCACTTAATTGCAGTTCTGTCAATTTGGGGCATTACGGACAGATAATCGAGGACCACCAATATGTATTAAGGCGTATTACCCAGCTAGAGCTGGGGGTTGGATTGCCGAATGGTTAGCACGTGCGCGCTGTATCATGAGGTCTGTCATTGAGTCAACTGGTGTGGTTTCGCCTGTCCAACCTCGTTGGTTTTCTCCGGGTCATCCGATTTCCTCCCACTGCTAAAGACCATTATGCCTAAGCGAATTATAGAATTAAATTGAACCATATGAAGAGTTCTGGGAAGAACGATCTAAGTCACTTTTTCAACGAACCCCAGTTAATGGCGCCATCTGGTAGCAAATTGTATAAGCTTTCTGTGGAACAATCAATTTCGGGTAAAAACGATCAGAGTCACATCGAACCAAGGCCCTTCTGAAATGGCCTCCTGGACAAACACGTCCATTGTACCCTTTATTTGACCTTAATTTGGCTGAAAAGTGGAAATCAGTTGTTGTACTGGTAATTATGATTCATATTAAACATCATTTTGAAGTTGTAATTAAACCCACTCGTTGTTCTGTTCAAGTGAAGCATTCTTGTCCCAAAGTTTGTTTTGCCTTTTTTGCAAAAAGAGAAAAATGCGACTTAGATCGTTCTTCCCCTGGACTCTTCATATGTAAGTTACGAAATGAACTAGTTTGTGTTGAGTGGACATTAAACCCCATTTCTCTCTCTTCCAGATAGAGCACTGTCGTGTCTCTTGATTTTAATGCAGCATTTTCAATCAGCAGATTTACATCATCTGTTTTGCCAAGGTTCATTTTAATTTGGACATGAATTGTTATTAAAAATTTAGTTCAAAAGACAAATATATCTTTTGGGGTTATTATTTGATTCCTAATAACAAAAAAGGTTTTTTTGTGATCAATGTGATCTCTTTTCAAGGTGGGGGCACGTAAGTAATCTAGCATATTCCCTGTACATCCACATGATCTGTCATTGAGTCAAGCTGATTGATTTCTATGCATGCCTCCCCGCATGGGTTTTCTCTGGTTTTTTCATGTTTTTCCCACTGCTTAAGACTGAATGGCTGTTTCCTACCTTTTAAGGAATGTAAGGGGCTATTGTGATCATTTGTAATTTAGCAGCATTTTATTTTTACATCTATCCAGAGACATTGATTTTCTTTAGGGTTTAAAGATGTTGATGTTTGGATTGCATTTCCTAATGCGCTTTTGCCAACTCCGATTTTAATCATCTGTTCTGATTTGGAAACTTTGTTTCAAGTGTTTCTTACTTTCTTATTTCTAGATTTTGTTCCAATTTTTTCCAAAAAGAGGTGTTTGTTGTGGTCATGGCAAAGCAGTGAACTTGAATTGTTGTTCCCTACCCTTTAAGGAAAGTAAGGGGCTATTATGTTCGGGCACCTCTGCCTGTAATATCGTATTATTTATTTTCTCCATCATCTATTACAGTGACATCTGTTACTATATATAGAGTTTGTTACCCAGAGCACTCTTACTAAGTCCAGTATTTAATCATCTGTTCTGATTTGTCAGTGATGCAGGACAAAAAGTCTGATGAAGAGTCTGACAAGGAACAGTGTGTGGTTGTTCAACCGAGGTCCCATGTACAATAGAATTCTTATTTCCATCCAGAGACATTGATTTTTTTTTAGATTTTAAAAATCTCACTGTTTGTAAAAAGATTCTGACCAATATTCATATTTTAATCGTCTGTTCTGATTTGTCAGTGATGCAGAACAAAAAGCCTGATGAAGAGTCTGACAAGGAACAGTGTGTGGTTGTTCAACCGAGGTCCCATGTACAATAGAATTCTTATTTCCATCCAGAGACATTGATTTTTTTTTAGATTTTAAAAATCTCACTGTTTGTAAAAAGATTCTGACCAATATTCATATTTTAATC